AACATTTTAATATTTTTTTACTACATAATCTACTATAAAGTAACGCAGTAAAAATAACATAATATATAAGTTTTTAAAAAGCTTGGTAACGTCTATAATCATAAAAAATGATTTAATACTTATAAGGGTCTTAGGGTAAAAATTATTAAATAAAACGATTCCAATATTAATTTACAAATACAAAAATAGCTTTTAGTATAATATTTTGAAATCATTTACGAAAGTAAATTTTGAAAAATTGTTTGACGGTTTCAAAGATATTTGCTTAGAAAACGGAGGAAAGGAGTTTTTTTTCTATATCTTGTACCAGGTGGTAATAAACTAAAAACTAAAGTTATCTTTGAAATATGTTAAATATAAGATCTTCAATTAACTACTGGATTCTTGATTTTTGCTTCACATTCATAAGACCAATAAAGTATCAACTACTAGCTAGAAGAATAATTATAACGAGAAGAATAATTAATAAGACTCAAAGTTATAATTTTAAGAATTTATGATGAAAGGTTATCATCCGATTACCAAAGTTAAGATCAGCTTAAGACATTTTTGTGTTGATTATTATTTATGAATTACTTTTTTTAAAAACAGTGAATTTGTTTATATTTTAGTGTGTTTGGAGTCCCCAATACTGTTAATTTTTGTTCATATACGCGGTGTAATTGTATTGAGATACAATATTGATGTGTGTGTTGAGGATAAAGTTATAAATCATGAGTCATGGTAAAGTCTAGGAACTGAGAATGGGTAGAACCTTATATTTGTTGTTTGGCCAATTCAAAAAAGTTCTTAGATTTTTGTTTTAATTTTTAAAAAAAATATTCATATTTCAAATAAATTATAAGTTAATAGTTCTTTTCAAACACTATCTTGGAATTGCTCATGTTATTTTAAAAAGAAGTTTCAAAGTTCCATGATACATCACTTATAGATTTCAGTTATTATACTAGTGTTTATCAATTTATAAAAAAAAATTTAGAATCTTCGATAACTTTCTCATATAAACAACAGAAACAATAATTGTTGTCATCTTAAGTACCGATAAATGTAATATATATTTTTCAATTTATGTTTATTAGGTACTTGTTTTTAATGTTATTAGCAAGTTTTAGTTATTTAATATTTAATAGCTTAATAAACAGTGAGATAGTGTGCGTGCGTGTGTGTGTGTGTGTGTGTGTGTGTGTGTGTGTGTGTGTGTGTGTGTGTGTGTGTGTGTGTGTGTGTGTGTGTGTGTGTGTGTGTGTGTGTATTTTTTTAAACCTAATTTAATTTTGTTAGCGAGACTGCGAGAGTTATAATTTCACAATCATCTGATTTTCGATATTTGTATAATGATTATTTCAGGAAAAGTTTATAGTTTATGAAAATATATTACAGAAGTTTTTTGTAGCAGATGGACTCAATCAAAAATAGGAAACTAATGCCAGGTTATATATTCACATGCCAAAATTGAAAAATTACCATTATTTATCGAGATACAAAGTCTTAAAAAACTGCAAAGTATAACCTGTGAAATTTATGGTTAAAATCCATAACACGACGTATTTGAATTAGAACGATTTTAAGAATGTGAAGATTAATAGTTTTTTGATTTAGAAAGACAACAAACCTACTTATAAATTACATTGACCCAAATATAAACATCATATAAAACAGAAACTCGTATAAAAATTCTCAACTCTAGAAAAATTAAAGCAGAGTTGAGTGCAGGTAAATACCAGATTTAAAATCTTCTAGTTCTTGGAGCTTAATATTTAATACCAATGTAATATATATACATAAATAATAATAACCATATTTAGACATTTAGTAGGTATCTAGTAAATAATATAAATTATAATATACAATAACCTATAACATAATATATCAAATTTGACGATGTTATAGACTCTATATAAACTTTGTAGAGTAAGGATAAACGTTAACGATTTTCACATGATCGCAAACATATTACAACAAAATATTTTGTTGTATGAGTAGGTAAACATGAGAGTTAAATCTTATACAATATCAATACTTGAATGAAATTATTCTGTATGTTCACCTCTTGAGGAATGCATAAGATCAAACAAAAATATATTTTAATTTCTTATCGCCAACACGTGCATACACGGTGCTCCAGCACCAACCGCCACAGTGGTTTGAGGATTAAAAATATACAAATATGATGTAAAAATGCATGTTACGTTCAGTTTACAAGCCTCCGGCACATTTCATATAATGCTCGAACTAGATCAAACAGTCTCTAAGCAATAAAATATACCCAACCTTAGTAAAATGAGCCCAACTGGTAAATACCACACAATATTACCATATCAATAAGTGTATTGATATTGTAGTGTCTGGAAATACCAAGGAGTAGAAAAGCCATGTACTATTTTATTAACTATTCAAATTTCACGATGACTGCAGAACGTGTCAAAATATTATTTTTTAACTAGCAATCTATTTTTATTATTACATCAATCAAGCAGGAGTAATAAATTGTATGCTGTATTATGTGAAGTATGTATATAAAATATTATAAATGTATAATATATAATATTAGACGTCATACAATATAATATTAATTTCTCAACACGGCACGTTGAGTAGGCAATATAAACACTAACATGATTTGGTTTTCTTAATGGTAACGTATTTTACGATTGTTTCGTTTAAAGTAATAAACGTTGTTATTATATACTATTACTGCGCCAATACTGTATTAAGAATTTCATAAATAAAGAAAATCGAAGTCATGTGAAACACGACATTGCATTGTGAGTTACTGTAATATATTGTTTATAGTGTGATTATATACATCATTATACTACTGCAAAATCTAATTTTTGTTTTATAGAATAATATGATATATTTATTGTTTTAAAATTTAATAAATAATATATACAGAATACATACTATTCTATTCTTATTTTTTATTTTACATATGGAAAATAAAATATAACACCAACAATTTTCTCTCATAAATTGAAAGAAAAATAACAAAGAATTTCCAAACAAATTTGAACTTATTGGAAATGAAGACTATATTATGTAACCATTTAATATGTTATATTAAATGGTTTGAGTAATATTTACTATAAAAACATATTTTAAAACTAATATCAATGGATGGTAAAACCTTTCTTTCATATTTATTTTATATTATCATCAGTATTCATCGGTGGTTCCCCGAATAGATAATATGTACTACATTTTTTGTCTAATTTATTTCCGGTTTTGGTAAGATAAATTACACGATTGTTTTTTAATATAATTTAAGACTTAAAATCACAATTTATTATTATTATTTTTAAATTTATTACTAAATTATAATTTAATTTATATTTTTATTTCATTTTATAAAACTTTTTTCTATAACTGCTGAGTAAATAATATTGGTGAGAGATAATAATAATTTAAGTATTTACAAAAACACTTCATTATTATGCAGTCACACCAAGGAAGAAAAATCGATTGAACTAACCATATCTTTGTGTTTGCATATTAGTGCCAGTCATACATACGCAATATTTTTGGTCGTCGTCATTCCCTTTGTCTGAATTATATCTAGTATGGATAAGCAAAACATTTTCATAATATGTACTATGTTCGTCATATTTCTAACTTTAACACCTTGATGATCCAAAGCTAAACAACTAATGCAATTTCTGAAAGCCTGAAGTGCATATACTGTATGAAGGTTAATAAATATCGATTAGAACTCTTAACCATAGTAAAAAAAAACAAAAACAAATAGGAAGTACGATCAATAGATGGCTATTAATGTATCATTATTGTATTCAGCACATACTAAAATTGTACCTGAGAGTGAAGGTTTCATATATAATAAAATAATAATAGTAATAATCATTCACATTATAAAAATACAAATTATACTTCTATCACCAGTACACCAAACTCAGAATCGTCATATCCTGGAAACATTGGAAACAAATTCAACATAAATTGATAAAGTCTCTTAAATTATGAAATGTGTCGGTATTATACATAGCCTATCAATTAGACTCATTCAGGTTAAGAATATCAGGTTTCATGCACAGACGTCTCTAGATCTATTTTTGTTCAATAATACGTTGAAATATTTTGAAGGTATTATTGCTATAATAACTTTTATTTGGTTCATATTAATATGTTCCTAAATGTTGATAACTAATTCTACATTTATAGTTAATTATTATTTAAGTCTGTCTTTTTCACTAGTTATCATTTAAACATATATATATACAGTGTGTTCACGGAAACAGGGAACACTTAATAACTCATTACCCTGTAAATATTTTTGAATTCTGCTTGTGGGGCATTCAACTAGACTAATAGGTCATACATTCCTATAACTAATAATTTTTTTAACTCATATAGTTTGCGCATGCGCAGTACATTATCCTTTTTTTTAAATGGTAACACCTGTTTTGAACACTATATTTGGATAGGCCTATTTTTTATAAGTAATTTTGATGAATCAAGTATGGTTCTAAATTCAAAATTGACTGAATAAGAGCCATGTAAATTTTAATAAATAATACATTTTTATTATTTTTAAAAATTTGTAAAATCATTTGTAATTAATTCTTATTGGTTACTTTTTCAATATTTGTACTTATTTTTTTTAAGTGTTATAAAGAAGACTAACATAATATGAGTAATTATTTATTATAAATCGATTAGGTACAAGCAGACAACAGTTATTTTATAAAATATAAAGTTATCGAGGTTTGAAATAATAAGATAATGTTAATTAGCATAGTTTTTCAGGTAATTTAATACTAGATAATCATAAGTCATAACAATAATAATATGCATTTATTGCACATGAATATGCACTATTATTAGATGTATAATATCGATAAGTGATAAATTATTTATACCTACCTATCAATTTGTAATTATTTATAAGTAGATAAACCGTTTTGATTATTAATTTTATACTCTAAAATGTAGATATTGTGAATCATTTTTGTTTTGATTGTCATAGTGCGAGTAGTTACGTTAAAATGAACAACCAAGAAAAAGTACAAATGCTTTTAATTTATGGTAGATGCAATAGAAACTCTCGTCAGTCAGCAAAAATGTATGCTGAACAATACCCAGGTCGGTACCATCCACCACACACTTTGTTCATTAAAATAGAAAAATTATTGATTAACCATGGAGCATTTTCTGTAAAAGGAGTCCGTAACCAACAAATTAGACAAAATAATATTAATGATGATGTAGAACTTCAAGTTTTAGCATATATTAGATTGAATCCACGATCTTCGGTTAGGCATGTTGGTAGAGAAGTTGGAATATCGTTCGGCCTTGTGCATAAAATTTTAAAAAAACACAAATTACATCCTTACAAACCTGAATTAGTTCAACATTTATGACCTACAGATCCAGAAAGAAGGTTAAATTTCATTGCTTGGTTGCTCGTTCAAATCGATACACAACCGTTATTTTTAAATCAGATATTATGGACTGATGAATCTAAATTCACGAATAATGGAGTTATTAATAAGCAAAACAATCGTTTATGGTCAGATGTCAATCCTCATTGGGCAGTGGATAGCCGTCACCAAACTGTGTGGGGTACAAATGTTTGGTGTGAACTTATAGGTGGCAAATTATTAGGTCCGTATTTTTATGAAGAAAACTTAAATGCAAGACGATATTTAGCATTTTTAACAAATGTTTTACCATTGATGTTAGAAAATTTACCATTAGCTACACGTCAAACCCTTTATTTTCAACATGACGGAGCTCCTGCTCATAATGCTCATATTGTTCGAGATCATTTAAATCGAGTATATGAGGGAAAGTGGTTCGGCACTTATGGTCCCATTGAATGGCCAGCAAGATCTCCAGATATTACTCCACTTGATTTTTTTTTATGGGGCCATTTGAAAACAATAGTCTACGCAGATCCACCAGTAAATTTAGCCGATTTAAAAAATAAAATCGTGGTTGCCTGTAATAACCTTACCGAAAATCAAATAATGTCAGCAACCAGTAGAGAATGTATACAACGCTTTCAATTATGCGTCGAAAATCACGGAGCAAACTTTGAACAATTTATTTAATTAATTGTGTAATTATAAAAAACTGTTGTTCACTTGTACCTTATCAGTTTATAATAAATAATTTTGTACTCATATTATGTTAGTCTTCTTTATAACACTTAAAAAAAATACGTACAAATATTGAAAAAGTAACCAATAAGAATTAATTACAAATGATTTTACAAATTTTTAAAAATAATAAAAAAAATGTATTATTTATTAAAATTTACATGGCTCTTATTCAGTCAATTTTGAATTTAGAACCATACTTGATTCATCAAAATTACTTATAAAAAATAGGCCTATCCAAATATAGTGTTCAAAACAGGTGTTACAATTTTAAAAAAAGGATAATGTACTGCGCATGCGCAAACTATATGAGTTAAAAAAATTATTAGTTATAGGAATGTATGACCTATTAGTCTAGTTGAATGCCCCACAAGCAGAATTGAAAAATATTTACAGGGTAATGAGTTATTAAGTGTTCCCTGTTTCCGTGAACACACTGTATATATATATATATATCATAAATAAAAATAATAATATTAATATTGTACAGTATCTTTATAACTTACTTTATCATGGAGTCGTATTAAAATTAAAAACGAACTTATAATACCTCTTATTGTATGGTATTCATTAATTTAATTAAAATGTTGCTGGCGTCATGAAAGTAGCATACACATCGCCGAATGCACTCTAAGTGCATTGCGGTAGCCCTACTCACATCTTAATGGGCTGGGGTAGCCTAGTCCACCTAGGTATGGAGGCTTATCATGAAACTTATACCCCACATTGTAAAACCAACGTGTTTAGAAACTAATACAAAGGCCTGGGAGACAGATAAAATAAGATTAACGAACGACTCTAAGAATAACGGATCAAAGGATTTTATGATTGCAACATAGTGTATTCAGAACAGACACATGCCATAATCTTGTATGGGTATTGGCAAGAAGCTATATAATAACAATAGGGAGCCCTCCAGGAAGTAGGATGGACAAGTTGTGCTGGGGGAACTTACCAATTTCTAACTTGGATTAGAAAATACTAAATAGACATAATTTTGGAATACGATTTGCAGCAGGTATACAAAAATGCAGTGGAAAGTGTTCACGAATTCAGAATCATTTCAGTACTTGTATAATTACTACAACTAAAACGTACGTCTATTAACGTAAGTAAATGCACCAAGGAAATCAGTAGATGCATTGGAGAAGAATAAATTGTATGAGAAACTTAGTAGAATGTATGATGATAATATCAGACGGTGATGTTTCATTAAAATAATATTAAGATACTGTAATGAGAAAATAGAAAAAAAAGCCAGCATATCAATTTACCATTGGAAAAGAAAGTGTACATGGTAGCTACATGAGTTGACCAACGACAACGGATCACAAGCAACGTCAAAATAAATCATCATCAGAAGCACAACATATCTGCACAAAATCATCCACAAATATACTTGGAAATCGTTAAATGGAAACACGGAGTTGACTTGGGAACATAATAAAGGTTTGATGATGATTATAGGATGGAACGACAAATCTATCTAGCAAATCGAAATCCAATAGACATATTATCTTACTACAATAACAAACTCAGGGAATATAAAATGACAATGCAAACAAAAAAGAGAGAACATTTTAATGATAGGTATATTTGAAAAAATATAGAACGATCATACAGAAAGCATAATACGACAACTCTTTAATACAATCAAAGGGTATATAAGTTCAACCCAGCATTACGAACTATCAATAGGTATGGTGCTGTTCAGATGGACCAAAGACAACTTATTATTGACAGACTGAAAGAGTTGTTTGAGCTAAATATGGAAATATCTGAGTCACTATTCCCAGAGTCGAAGTAAGAGAGAGAGCTACCTACTACCTATAGGTAGTCTTTACAATATCCTGTACGAGTTTGGTTCGTCTTGTCTCCGTGGTTCTAATATTATAGTATAACTAACTACAACTGTACTTTTATTTTACTGGTTATATTCTGTATACTACAGACAACCTTTCAAAATAACCTTTATTTAATGGACAGTCTGGGGTATAGAAATTAGAAATACATGATGAAAATATGTAAAAAATAAATATGAAAAATGGACAATGTTAGCTAATATAATTGAGTTTTAAACTTAAGTTTCATGAATAACTTTCTAAACAAACAGGTTTTTTAGATTGACTTATGATTTATATAACATATAAAAATGTTCATAACTGTTATAAGCATTATTATAAAAAAAAAATTGTTTATTTCTTAAATGTAATTATTTTATATTAAAATAAGCACTATTTTATTTTTTGACTCGGAGAATTCATTGTTAGGTAAATACAATTTCGTAAATCTATCCTATAGAAGTTTGAAGCTATTTATTATTGCTAGAATAGCCTTTCTTATGTCACAGAGCCAATAGGAGTTGTTAATGATATTGAAAATAATTTCTGATATCTATTATGAAAAAATCAATGTCAACATTGAATATTTGTTCAAATGTAATACAATAATTTCTTCAAACCACGTCCATTATAGATTAGGTAATTAATGGAAGATTTAATATTTCAATTAAAATATTTTTGGAGAAGCTAATTTTTATACTTGAGAGGCTTACCCTCTAAACTCCTCTCTATTCAAATTTCTCCAATGTGTACTAACATAAAATTATAATAATAATAATTACAATTAAATAATTTTTGAAAATGTATACATTATAATATGTGTGTGAGTATTGTGTGCATCTGTGATAAATAAAAACATCAAAATGGTATATTATAACTAAATTAAAACCCTCAATCTAGGTGGTATTTAAGTGTATTTTGGTGCAAGTCAACTGCTAAATTCATATCCATATAAAAAATATTGATTACAGAACGTAAAAAAAATGTATTATTATAGGTACTATACAAGTCGACTAAAATTAGTTTAGTATATCTTATAAATAAACGAACGTAATATGGTTACATTTGAATTGATACACTAAGGCAAGTATTAAATTTCCGTCCAATGAATGCAATTTATTAATAACGATAATGATTTTATATGTAAAAACTGTTTGATTGTTGTCACTAAAAATTCAAAATGTATTTATATTTCTTTATTCAAATTTCGTTAATAATAAAAATATCTTTCAGAAATAGGCATCTAAGGCTCTTTGATTACTGCAGATTAAAACGTGGGTTTTCATTTATCAGTCTTTCGACCGTTCCAACTTCATTGATGCGTTGGTAATTTGTGATAAGATTGAAGTTAGAATTCCTTTTATTATATAGTTAAATCCAATATTGAGATATATATATATATATATATTTATAATAAATTAATTATTGAGAAACAGAGTCATGTAAATATTGATATCGAAAGCACCATACTATTGAATTATCGACCTTTTAAGTACAATGTACTAATAATAATATTGTTAATAATGATTAAAACATTTCACGTTTTACTGGACTCGTATCTTTTTATAAAAATAATCTAATGTTAAATAATTACATATATTATATAAACGCATTTTATAATACATATTTTACCAGCACGCAAATATTATTATTGCTCATTTAGTTATAAAAGTTGATATAAAAAAATATAATTTCAAGAAATCTAACTACTAGTGTAGACTGATTCGTTGGTCAATACAATTAATAATTCAATTAAATTAAGAGCGTTACTCATATAATTATTATATAAAGTAAATTTGATTTAGTTAAAGGCAGGGAATTTTTAAAAGTCATGAGAATAATTTATTATCGTTTTCCATAAAATATATACATATAATATTAAGTGATATATTTCTACAATGGTTTTTATTACAAACAATATTTTAGCTGTGGATTTATTTTATCTACGTTATAGCCCTTTAGCTAATAGTTAATAATAGCGATTTAGGTGTAGGTTTTAGAAAACTGAAATTCGGAAAAGGTGTGTTTTCTAAAATAAAAAAATAGAAACTTAATGATGAATTAAAACAATGCTAAACGAACTATTTAGTTTTTATCAGATATTAGTATAACGATTATATTATAATTTATAATAACTATTTTTAAGTCCATACATAAAACACGTTACTATCTGAAAGCAAATTAAAAAGGAAAAGAAAAAAACATGAATGAAAAATAAAATGATACAAACTATTCGATTATTAACTATAATTTAATAATAATTATTGTACTACAAATTTTATGTTATTGACTATTGGTGATGGTTATAATGTATCAATACTGAGTATCTATTGAAAGGAACAAACCAAAAATAATAAAGATATGCATTTCTGTGATGATAATGTTACAGTGAAATAAATATTGAGAAACAAACAATCG